TCAGCAACTAAAATCATTTTGGAGGAAGGCATTTCAGCTAATAATAACTGTTATTTTGCATTATTATTATTAGAATTGGCTGGTAAATCTAAATTCATTGGGATTTCCACTTCCTTTTATTTAAGAAGTTCCACCAATTATTGTATTCTAGACTCTTTAGTCTAATTGATATCTTCTAGTTCCTTTTGTAGTTTATCATAGGCATCAAGTTCCTCTTATAATTGTAGTATTGTTTCATCTCTTTCATTCAATCTGTTAGTTAAGGCGATCATTATATCTCTCTATTTGAGTAACAATTATTTATATTTGTCTGTTTGAGCCTTATCCTCTTCAATGTTCTACCGCTCTTTTTCCAATTCTTGTAATCTCTCCTGATATTATTACCTAATTAACTTTTGCTGTTTTTCTAGGGCATTCTAAAATTAAGGGGTTTCTTCAATCTTCTACCCTCCAACAAGCATTTATGAATTCAAGGCTGATATCTTTTCTTCCAATTGCTTTCTCATTTCTCTTTCCTAAACCAGATCTCTGTTTCTTTATTCATATGCACTCATCACTTCTTGCTTATCTTCTAGAGCCTTTTATCGTTCTTTTTCTAATTCAGCTACCATTGAGTCAATTGGCATTTAACTTCTTTCATCTAATTCTTATTTTAATTTTCTAGATTTCTAGTTAATATTTTCTAAGCAAGGCTCCTTGATCTTAATCCTAATTAACCATAGGAGTATTTCTTATATTTTTAGCTCTGTTTGCAAATTTCAATGTTGATAGAGACTCGTTGAAGGCTTCGATAGCTGGTGATATCATTGCCATAAATGTAGTCTTGCAATTACCTCCAAGTGAGTCTTCTAATAATCTAGTTATTTTAGAATCTCTATAAGGAATATGTGATTTGGGTTGTTTTAGTTCAGTCAAAGCAGCAATAACATTTCCTAATGCAGATAGCGATTGATTAATCTTTTTTGACTCCTCTAATCTTATACCTGTTGCTCCAGTGACTCTAACTCTTTCACTCCCTGCCAAATCCACTAAATTTAGTTTTCCAACTCTTGCTCTTTTTCCTTCTGGTGTTTCTTCAATTTATTTCAACTGTAATGATAAAAACTGCATGACTTCTTGAAGATGTGTCGTTCATTCTCGTACTTGCTGTTACTCTCTTGGCATTACCTCTTCTCATCAATTGATATATTTCTGGGGGAGAACGTACTGCCCATTCTGATAGATTCTCAACAAAAACTCCTCTTTTCTTATCTTCTCTGATATTCAATTATTAATGATCTGGTCTTAGAAGATCACTTATAGATTCATTGTAGATTTATAAATATGATGCTCTCACCATAAATGTTGTCATCGAATTAGATTTCATCTATATATGTGTAAAGATGTTATGCAATGATCTTGGGATGATACCCAATTAATCAGAATTTGGTGTAAATGAGAATCCGTGCATTGTGTATGTCTTTCCAGTTCCTGTTTATCCGTATGCCATAATGGTTGAGTTATATCCCTTTTGAATACTTATTCATTTCATACTTGAAGTGTCGAATCAACTGACAAAGCAGCTGTGGTTTCATAGACTTCCACTTAGGTGCTTTCTTAATCATATACATAATCAAATGTAAATTAATGAATGGTGTAATTCGCTGGATTTTATACAAATGCTTCCAATTCCTCATCAGGTACTAGCTCTATTGCATGATAATCGAAAATGCAAAGTTATTGATTATCTGGAGCCGCTTGGACCTTTTCAAATTATCAATCATAACTTTACAGTTGATATGAATTTGCCAT